TTCTGTTCAGGGGAGAGCTGTGCCGTTCTATCTGCCCACCATGAGCAGCGCCGAAAAGGGGGACAAGAAGCAGGGAGATGTACCCCCTGTGGCCTCGCTTAATCCCATGAATATTTACTGAGCACTCTGTGTCCCAGGCTCTGGCTGAGGGATGTGGGGCATGCTTGTGGGCAAACAGAGATCCTGGCTTGGGGGATGTGGAGCCTCAGCTCCCTGAGGTAGGGATGGCGGCCCTCGTTCGCCAGCGTGTCCTCAGGGGCAGCCTGGGACTTGATGCTCAGTAAAGGCTGGGATAACCTGCCACTTGGGAGTTCCAGAGGTGATGGTTGAGAAGAGACCAGGGATCTGGCAGCCGGAACAACTAAAGTATTCACGTCAGAACTCTGAGTTTGCATAGCCGTGACAGTTGATGCTGACCTTAAGTGCATTGGTGGCCTGGGCCAGGCTCTGAGGTCAGACGGTCATTTATTAGATAGAAGGGTACATTAAGGGGGAGAATTGTGTTTTCCCTTTTCGCTCCCAAGAAATGGGAAGAGGAAGAACAGAGCACTATTTTGAGCTTGCTGTGGAGGCAGCGCCCGTCCGAGGCGACGTGGCTCTCAGGCTCCGAGTTTTGCGTTTTGATTTGGGGTTGGGGGCGCTGTTTCCTTTCCGTGTACTTTTCCCCCCTCAGTTAGGTGCACAGAGGCCCAGGTGCGGCGTTCAGGAGCTGAGGAGGCTGTTACGAGTCCTTGGACAGAGCCAGGCGCTGCTGTAGGCTTGTTCCTGAGAATGTCCACTTCAGAGGCCAGACTTCCAAAGTGCTGCTGCAGGCCAGGGGGTCAGGAGGCAAGCCACAACCTCCCCTTTTCCCTCCCCACCATGTCCGCAGGAAGTCATGCTTTTGCACTGACCTCATGGCCAGCGGACAAGCCCTAGAAGGAGGAGATTCAGGAGGAGGAGGAGGAGACCAGATAAAAAAGGGAGGAGAGAAGGAAGAAATGGAAGTAGGTCAGGGAGAGGGAGGCTGTGTCCCCATGAAAAGGGACAGAGACCGAGCGGGAGGTTGCCTGAGTTTGAACAAGAGCAAGGCCATGGGACACAGGGTTGGGAACAGGCAGTGACGCTGGACAGTGAAAGCGTGTTTTTGCCTGTTTTTCTGGCTGAAAACCGGCTGGTGCTCAAAGGACCTGCTGGCGCTTTCTCCTTAGTCATAGCCGAGCTGTTTGGGAACCGGAACCGTCTGACCTGGGTGAAGAGGCACCCAGCTCAGGGAGCATGCCAGAACAAGGTGCAGGGTGAACCCCAAGTTCTGACAGCTTGCCAGTGCACCTGCTGCTCGGATGTTGGCAGAAACATCCCTTTTGGGAATCGTTGGCCGTACTGAATTTGGACATCACGGCGCTCTGGTGTTGAAATGGAGTGATGGCCTCCCTTCCGTCAGGGGTCTGTGGGAACCCTCCCCACCGGGGACACGCCTCGCCTCTCATCCTGGAGCAGAGTCACTAAGCCGCAGTTCCTCCCACCTAATTGCTGAATCACAAAATTTTAAGGATAAAGTAACAGTTCAGAGACATGACGCAGTCCTGTGGCGTTTGTTTACTTCCCTCCAATCAGCATAATTTATAACATTTAGAGCAGTGGTGCTCAACCTTTCTAACGCAGCAACCCTTTAATACAGCTCCTCATGTGGTGGTGACCCCAACCATAAAATTATTTCCGTTGCTACTTCATAGCTGTCATTTTGCTGCTGTTATGAATCATAATGTAAATATCTGTGTTTTCCGATGGTCTCAGGCTCTACCGCAGAGGTTCTCAACCTGTCGGTCGCCTAAGACCACTGGAACACACAGATATTTGCATTACAATTCATAACAGTAGCAAAATTGCAGTTATGAAGTAGCAATGAAAATGATTTTATAGTTGGGGATCACCACACCATGAGGAACTGTACAAAAGGGTCGCGGCATTAGGAAGGTTGAGAACCACTGATTTAGAATCTAACTCTTACAAGTTAATTTCCTTTTCTGTTTTTTTGTCTCATGATTATCCAACGAGATTAAAAATTATTTTTTCTGCTGCCAACAGTGAAAGCGATCGGCTGAATAAAATGATGTGACCTAAGGATGTATGATGGTGTAGGCGTCCATGAGAATTGTATGTTTCTGCACTTGGGATTCTTTTGCGCTTTCTAATATTGAAAATGAGCAGCTTTCTACCCTCAGCTCCTCCTCCTTCCTGCTGCCGAGTTGGCCTGCGGTTGGACAGCCAGCCTCGCGGGTGGACAGCTGGCCTGACGGGGCCGCGGTTCGTGTGGGCAGCACGGCCCCAGGCATGCCGAGCGAGGTATCCGTGGCTACTGTGCATCCTTGGTTCACGAGCAGGATGCCTCCCAGTTGGAGGAGGAATCTGATTCTGAATCCTAAGCTCTCTCCAGAAATAAACCAGAAACAGTTTGAGACAAACTTGTTTCTGCTTCCAAGGTAACGTCAGTGCTTTGGGAATATGCCCTCGATTCCCCTTCCCATGTGTGACAGCGCCTGGGCCGGGAGACTTCCTCCGTCCTCCAGCAGAGGGCCTCGGTCGTGCACGGGAGAGCTGCCTCCGCCTCAGGGGGGAGGGGAATGGATGCATCCTTTTCCCTCTAAGGCGGGGGAGGCATTGCCCTCAGCCCTCCCCCGCTTCACCGGGGCCAATAGACTTTTCCCCATTGTGAACGGTTCCTAGGAGTATCTCATTGGCTGCCATCCCTGGAATGCATGAAATTTACGCCATGTGTGTATATATATCAGGTGATTTGCATATTCATGATACAAAACATAGGCCCGAGCGCTTGCATGCACAGTGTGTGCTTTCTCCTAGAGTTGTACTTCATTTAGAGAACCTACGTTTCTTTTGCTCAGGAAAGTGGCAGAGCTCCCGGCTCACCCTCTTGCCGGGTCCGGGAACCTGAGCAAGCCGTGTCCCTTCCGTGTCCTAATGAGCAGACAGTGCTAGGTCCTCATCGCTAGAATCCTGTGCTTTAGCCTCGATAAGCCACTCCTTCTGTGAGGAGGATGCAGGGACATTCTGAGTGAGCAATTCCCACCGTGCAGCCTTCCCTAAGCTACAGAGTTTAAATTTGATGCTGCCCGTTCGAGGCCTGATTTCTACCCTGGTCAACAGCCCTCGAAATCTGGGTCTCCCGTTGTGTCTGTCGTCTCAATCCCGCCCCTGCCACACGGTTCAAAATGCCACTCGTTCTGCGCCTCGTGGGGGCTTCATCGGCGGTTCTGGAATACAAGCAGACACCTCCGTTCTACCCGTCCACGTTTTCGCTGTCACTGTCTCCTTCCCCCACGCTCCTTACGAGAGCTGAGCTTCAGCCCAAAAGCAAATGTACTTTGTTGCCTGAGAACACGGATCCATAAAAACAAGTGAAGGGGAAAGCAGAGGAGACTGCGTGTCCCAGGGCCTGTTACCTAATCCTTACCCACATCTCCGCGCCGCTTCGAGCCCTCTTTATGCCCCCATAAACCTGGCCCGCTACCACCCGATCCGTGTGGGCGAGAGGAGGACGGGCGTGTTTGTGCCCCTGTGCCCATAAACGGAGCGCCGCTCCGGGGCTGTGCTCGTGAATGAGAGCTCTGGGATGTCGTGTAGGTGGGAGAGGCGGACTGATGGCCCCTGCGAGTGTCTGTAACGTACAGAACGCACATTCGGTTTGATTTAATACCTTTGCGCCTCTTGAAATGTCATCCAAGCAGAGGGCCAAAATGCCTGGAGCACCTGCCACAGCCTGCGGGGCTGGCTGACAGGTCTGCACCGGCTGACCGGCCCTGCGGCGGGTCGGAAAGATGAGACGTGTCCTAATGAGCGGGTTATAAATATCCCCGCGTTATGTCACAGGCGGCGGCGGCGCGCGCTGCAGAGGGACCGGCCGGGGAGGGCGCCAGCTGAGCAGCCGGGGGCAGCTTTCAGCGAGGACAAGTGGGGCCTGGATAGATTGACCAGGATGTTACTCGGGAATCATTTGTCCCTTAATGAAATGTGTCACCACACACGCCTCTGTGAGGTGTGTGGGGCAGCGGGCTGCGCCGTGCTCCGAGCCGCCGGCAGCTCAGGTTCCGTGCTCCTGCAGCTGCTCCCGGAAGGGGCCTCCGACCCTTTGTTTCTCCTCGGGGTGGGAGGCGGGGGTGAGGGAGCGTTTGATGGATTGATTGGGCAGTAATTTATGTTTGCAAAGAGGCAGCGGGGTTGATTGACGGAGCCCTTCCTTTCTCCCACCTTTTCTCTCTGTCTCGCCCATAAAACTGCATATTCCTGATACAAAACATAGGCCCGAGCGCTTGCATGCACAGTGTGTGCTTTCTCCTAGAGTTGTACCTCATTTAGAGAACCTACGTTTCTTTTGCCCAGGAAGGTGACAGAGCTCCTGGCTCACCCTCTTGCCGGGTCTGGGAACCCGAGCAAGCCGTGTCCCTTCCGTGTCCTAATGAGCAGACAGGGTTAGGTCCTCGTCGCTAGAATATTGTGCTTTTGCCTGGATTAGTCACTCCTTCTGCGAAGGGGACGCAGGGGCATTCTGAGTGACCTATTCTCACCGTGCAGCCTTTCCCCACGCTGCATGCAGTGCCTTGTGGGTATTTCTGTTCCCTAGTTGCCACCCACCTTTTAGATGAAAAGACAGATTTCAGCGCCGCTCAGCAGAGCAGGAAAACCATGGAGCCACCTAAGGATGCAGATAAAGACTGGCAAGACACCTTGCTTTTGTGGGGCGGGGAGAAGGGAGCCTCAGAATCCATTTTCCAACTTTTGTTTTTTTGTGAGAAAATTTGGTTTCAGAAACACAAAAATCCATCAGTCCCTAGGTCATATTTTGGAGATGTGAACAAAGATGGACAGGCACATTCAGAATAATTGTTGCTTGAAATCTAGCCCACAGCTTTTATGCAGATAAAAGGCATTGAAATAATGTGTAAAGAACATTTGATGTTAATACACGCGAGATGGAAACCCTGTCACATTCTGTGTGCACACAGGAACTTGACCAGAGGAGTGGGGAGGTTCAGAGAGATCCTCCGAGCGGTGGAGACGAGAACAACTCAGAACCTGCGAATGGTGAGTGTGGTGAACGACTCGACTACGTGTAATCTCTCTCTCTCTCTCTCTCTCTCTCTCTCTCTCTCTCTCTCTCTCTTTCTCTCTCTCATATATATGTTAATAGATATAGTTTACAGACCATATAATTAGCTGTTTATAGTCAGTGGTTTTTAGTATACGAACAGGATTGTTTAGGCATCGCATTTCAAAACCCATTAGTAGTCAATCTCCATTCTCCCCGTCCCCCAGCCCCTAGCAATCACTCATTTACTTTCTGTTTCTATAGATCTCCCTCTCTGGGACATTTTATATACACGGCTTAATACGATATGTGGTCTTTTTGTGACTAGCTTCCTTTACTTGGGATATTTTTTTTTAAGGTTCATCCACGTTGTAGCCTGCACCAGCATTTCGTTCCTTTTTATTACCGAATAATATTCCATTGTATGGATTAAGACACCAGAGGCCTGGTGCACAAGATTCATGCATGGGTGCGGTCCCTAGGCCTGGCTGGCGATCAAAGTGTGAGCATCTGGCGTGGAAGGGCAGGTCCCAGCCGACCTCTGGGCCCTGGGCAGCACCTGGGCCCCGACCCTCACTCGCCCCCCTCCACCTGAGTCACAGCGCCTGAGTCCCTGTGTGGAGATGCAGTGAGTGCGGCTCAGCGCCACAGGCCGGGGTGCAGCGGGGGCCTCTGGGCCGCCCAGCAGTGCCGCATGGAAGCCAGGCGGGCAGCACACTCTCTCCCAGCCGGCCTCGAAGACTGGCTCCTGTGCAAACCCACAGGAAACTCCCGTGGTCCCAGAGGCTGCGCAAGTGCAGGGAGGGCTCCTCGTGGGCACCCAGCACCTGAGTACGGGGGTGGAGGGAGCTGGGGAGTGTGGGCTTCCCCAGTGCGCGAGCCCTGACATCCAGGGGTGGGGGGAGGTAACAGAAGGAATGAGAGTGAGCTCAGCAGACACCCAGCAGTCTCACTGCACTTCCATCCCCGTCACCATCACCCCCAGGTAGCTGGCGAGAGGCCACAGCATGTCCCTATGCCCGCCATGTCCCGCACTGCCCCCTGGTGGTCAGCACACGTCATAGTGAGCAGTCGAACTCCTGGTCTCCCTGTCAAACTCTCAAACAACCGCCCGAGGGGACAATTTGCATATTAGGCTTTTATTATATAGGCTTTTGCTTATCCATTCATCAGTGGATAGACTTTTAGGTTATTTCACTTTTTAACTGTTATGAATAATGCTGTTGTGAACATTCTTATGCAAGTTCTTATGTGGACATACGTGCTCATTTTTCTTGGGTATGTACCTAGGGGTGGACTTGCTGGATCGTATGGTAACTATTTTTAACACTTAGAGGGGAGTTGCCAAGCTCTTTTCCAAAGTGGTCGCACCATTTTGCATTCATGAGGCTTCCGGTGTTTCCACACCCTAGACATTCGTTGTCTGTCTTTTTAGCTGTGGCCATCCCAGCGTGTGTCAGGCGCTGTCTCATGGTGGTTTTGGTTTCCATTTCCCTGGTGGCCAATGATGTTGGGCATCTTTTCAGTTGCTCATCGGCAGTGCTCTCTCTCGAAACCTAAGAAATGCATCCCGTAAGGCAGGTGGAATGCAAGCCCTCCCAGGTGCCATTGCGGGAAGGGATCACTTGTATGCTAATGAGTCATACAGACAGAGCAAGGCGGATTAGCCCTGAGCAGTACCTAGTTGTTTGACTAACTATATTGACCATAAAACTTACAAGTTACATAACTGGTTGATCAGCCGCTTGGCTCTCCTTTTGACTTGAATTCTCTCTCTCCATTTTTAATCCTTTCATTTTCCTTCCTGGGGCCATTCCTTCGCCACACCTTCATTGCTTGCCCTTCAGAGCCATAGCCACTGAGTGAGTGAGTGTGTGGGCAAAGGCCTGGTGCTTACTGGGAGCAAATGCCGCCTGTCAGCACGGATGCAGAAACCCCATGTAAGCCTGCAGTTTCTTTTGTCTTCTGTCATCCATGCGACTGTCCTCCCCTTATCATAAGTCCTTTAACTGCTGTAGGAGAGTGTGCCCTGGGGCCAGGCTAGTGGCTTCCTGTCACAGATACGAGCCTGTATCTTCAGTTAGGTGTCTCCAGAGTTTTAGATGCAGACATACTATAATTCATGGGGCCAGATGACTAAGCCATGGGCTTTCCTGGAATGATGGGGGTGAGAGAAGATGGACTTACACATGCCTGCCCCACCAACAGCTCACATGGTCTTTAATATTTATTTTCATAGTCATGTGATTTAAAAAAATATATATATATATTATTGAATTTTTACAAAGAGGAAGGGAGAGGGATAGAGAGTTAGAAACATCGATGAAAGAATTATCCATCAGCTGCCTCTTGCACACCCCCCACCGGGGATGTGCCCGCAACCAAGGTACATGCCCTTGGCCAGAATCGAACCTGGGACCCTTCAGTCCATAAGCCGATGCTCTATCCACTGAGCCAAACCGGTTTCGGCTTCATATGATTTTTAGGTGCCTTAAGAAGTTCAAACGATTGCAATAACAAGTGGAAATTTTTATCCATGTTTTACAGTGGAAACCACTGCAAAATATGGATAAAAATCATTGCCTTCTTTCTCATTGACCTACTCCCAACGTTCCATAAAACTTCTCAGCTGGTCAATGTGAACAGCTTCTTCCAAAATTTGGAAGCATAATGTAAGTAACTGATTGTATGAGCAAATGCTTTTATAACTTTTCCAAGCACATTGAAAAAGCCCATCTTTCAAAATTGCTTAAGTATGAAGCATTTGTTCATATTGCTGACTCTCAAAAAATTTATATTGATTCATTAAGGAAATGAATGGGTTTTTTTTCCTCATTAAAAGGAGTGACTGTATTGTATATACTGTTGGAATCTGTCCGCTGTTAATTTCAATGTTATTTTTCAGAATTAGAGAACCTCTTTCATTATAAGGTTTATGATTTTTAAATTAATATATTTGAACTTATAAATAGATATACGTTAGGCAGGAAGAAAGGATTCTTTTTCTGAGAATTACAGGGAAGAGGCCTCGAAAGAAAGTCTGGGTAGACCGGAGCTGCCCCTGCACATTCTCAGCTGCTAACTGGTCAGTGTTAATCTGAGAGGAGTAGTCTGGCCAGTGTGGCTCAGTGGTTGAGTGTCAGCCGATGAACCAGGAGGTCATGGTTCAGTTCCTGGTCAGGAAACATTTCTGGGTTATAGGCTCGATCCCCAGTGCAGGAGGCAGCCTATCAATGATTCTCTCTCATCATTTATGTTTCTATCTCTCCTTCTCCCTTCCTCTCTGAAATCAATAAAAATATATTTCAACAAAACAAAATGAGAGGAGTAGACCTTTGATCTTGGTTGATGATCCTCATGTGACCTAAGTTGAACTGTTTTTAATTCCTTGAGTATTTAACCAAAAGTGTGTGAGTGCTGGCTGGTATAGCTCAGTGGTTTAGCATCGACCTATGAACTAGGAGGTTCCTGGTTTGTGCCCGGGTTGTGGGCTCAATCCCCAGTGTAGAGCATGCAGGAGGCAGCTGATCTATGATTCTCTCTCATCATTGACGTTTCCATCTCTCTATTCTCCCTTCCTCTCTGAAATCAATAAAAAAATATATATATATTTAAAAAGGTATGTGTCAGAATTCTTGGAGAGACACTTAAATACAAGATGGGGCAAAAGTAGGCTTACAATTGTGAGAACATGAATCACAAAGTTTACTATTGTGTTTATTAATTATTAGTTATTGTGTTACTTTCCATACGAACAACTGTAAACTTCCCTTTGCCCCACCCTCTACACATCCCTGTGCCTGCCTCAGAAATGCCAGCTGGGTGGTATGGGCAAACCTGAGAGCCTTATTTTCTAGTTTGCACAGTGATTCTGAGCCCACCCTCACTGAGACACTTCCTGGGTCTTATTTACCGGTGTCTTGGCTTACACTGGACCTCAGAAAGCCTCTCCAGCTACTGCCATTCGTCAGAGTTTTCATTGGTCTTAATAGCCATTTGATTCTTTTTAGGTTAGCTGATAACTGCAGATTTGTGTTATTCATATGAGATGGAACGTTGCTTTGTCAAACTCAGTCTGGTGTGAGACCCTAGCAAAGAAGGATTTAGAAGTACATTTACAGCAATGCCACTCCTAGATAAATACTCCAGAGAATTGAAAGCAGGTGTGCAAACAAAAACTTGTGCATGAATGATCATAACAGCACTATGCACAACAGCCAAAAGATGGACACAATCTAAGTGTCTGTTGGCTGACAGCTAGGTAAGCAAAATGTGGTGCCGCCATAAATGGAACAGCATTCAGCCATAAAAAGGAATGAAGCACTGACGCATGCTACAGCAAAGATGGACCTTGAAAACATCATGCTGAGTGCAAGAAGCCGAAACAAAGGCCACACATTATATGATTCCACTTTCAGGAAAATACCCCACCTAGACACATCTATAGAGGCAGAAGGCAGATTCATAGTTTCCAGGGTCTGGAAGGACGAGGAATGGGACTCACGACTTAAAAGGGTTTGGGGCTTCAGTGAGAATGTTCTAGAACCAGGGAGTAGTGATGATTGCACAACACTGTGAATGTACTAAATGCCGTTAGTGTATACACATGAAATGGTTAAAATGGTGATCTTAATGTTATGTGAATTTTATTACACTTTGAAATACATACAAAAAAGTCCATTTCTTGACAGAGTTTGTATGTAAAAGTTTGAGTCTTCTTTCAGGCCCCCTTTCTTCCTTTCCTTTCTTTACTTCTGAGTTCATTTGATAGTTACCAGCAGTTTTTAAGCATTTAAACTGCAAGCTAAATGCAGCCTTCATGTAAAAAATAAAAAGTATAGCCCAGCTGGCGTGCCTCGGTGGTTGAGCCTCAACCTATGAACTAGGAGGTTGCAGTTCGATTCCAGCCAGGGCACATGCCCGGGTTGCAGGCCCGATGCCCATTGTGGGACGTGCAAGAGGCAGCTGATCAATGATCCTCACTCATTATTGATGCTTCTATCTCTCTCTCTTCATTCTCCTCTGAAAGCAGTAAAAATATATTTTTTTAAAATTAAAAAAATAAAAGATATTGGTGATCTTGCTGATAATTTCTCAAATTTAATCTTTCTTCCTGAACTTCATTTGAGCTTTCAGCGAGTGCAAGCAGACATCCTTTCTCATTGGTAGGGCATTGGTGAGGTGATGGGAGCCTTTAGAATATGCACATATAACATCAAAACCTACTTTAACCATCTTCCTGGAAGGTTAATGCCCCGAGGGAATTGAGATCTAGCAGTGAGCAAGCAAACGGTGCAGGGCAGAAGTTTTTTGTAATTTTAGAATCCCCCCCGTCTCCAGAAGATGAAGGTCCTTGTGCATTTTTCCCCTTTAGCATCCTTTTTTGCTCAGCTGCCGGGAGTGCAGGTAATCTTTGCCCATCAATGCTCCCAGCAGAAGTCATTAGCTGTATGACTGCAGTGAGTCAAAGTGAAACCAGAGAGGAAGGTTTAAGAAAACAGTTCAGGAATCGTTTAGGTCCTGGAGATTGTGTTCTTAAGAGAGCTTTACCGATGGCTCAGCCGGGGATGATAGGAGAGCTTTAACTTCACATTTTTATAGACAGTTAAAGCCAATGAGTCTTACTTGAGAATAATCAAGAAAATTTGCCTTTACACGGTGATTATCAGAAACCACTAAGCTAGTTGTTTGGTTGCGTTGAAGTCTCCTTGTGGCATGTTAAGAGAGTTCACAAGGATGAAAGCCTAGCAGAAGTCTCCTCTGGAACACATTATTAAAAAGGCTCCTTCTAAGGGAAGATCAGCATTCTTTGTCTGCATCCTGCAGAGTGCCGAGGCCTCCTGGAGAACCTGGTTTCCTTCATCACCTCTGGCTGACCACAGCCACCTGCCTATCTGAGGTGCAGTGCTTCTGTTTTAAAGGGTTATTTTCTTTTCTTTTCTTTTCTTTTCTTTTCTTTTCTTTTCTTTTCTTTTCTTTTCTTTCCTTTTTATTTATTTATTTTTTTTACCTTTCCTCTTTTTTTTTTTTTTTTTTTTGTCATTGGAAACAAACTAATATGCATTAGTCAACAAAATACATTGAGTGGCCGATTATTATGATCTCTGAACGCATAATAATCTGGCCATTCAGTGTGTGTATATATATATATTGGAGGCCTGGTGCATGAATTCATGCACGGGTGGGGTCCAGCCAGCCTGGCCAGGGGGAGGGGACATGGCCGGTTGGTTGGCCTGCTTGCTGGTCAAATTCCTGTTGTGGGGACAATTTGCACATTAGCCTTTTATTATATAGGATAAACACTGAGTGGCTAGATTATTATGCGTTCAGGGATTATCATAATCTGGCCACTCAGTGTACTTCCTAATAAAAGCCACATGCTCTTCCCCCCATACATCATACTGGGCTGCCCTGGGAGGTGGAGCTGGAGTTTGGAGAAGGTAGTAATCTGCATCGAATTCAGGAGGACCACGCACGCCTGGGTTTTCACAGTGAGGAAGGAGATGCCTGTCCACATTTGGACAAAGGCCTCTCGTGATCATTAGCCATACTCTCCATTGCCTTCTCCACTGCAAAGGCCCAGGGTCACCGAGAACAGGGTTCTATAAGAGTTTCTGAAAAAAGAGCTTAACTAAAAGTTTCCTTTGTAAAATAGGGTTAGTGTTCCAGAGTGCAACCGAGGCAGGTGGCATTTGAAGGGCATGAACTTATATATTTTTTAATTGTCCAAGTATCTTGGTGTATCCTGTCTTCATTTTGTCATCAGCTGATATCATTTCATTATGAGTCTTGGAAGAGTGCATAATACAAAGTGACGACTGAAAAATACTAAGTAGATGAGTGAATGAATGAAACAAAACAGATTCATGGCTCTGCCCTTGCCCCTTTGTGTTCCCAGACAATAGCCAGGCAGCTGGCAGAGATCTTGTTGCGGGGTATGTGCGAGCAGAGCTACTGGAACCCTCTGGAGGACCCGCCGTGCCAGTCGCCTCTGGACGACCCTCTCCGGAAAGGAGCCAACACCAAAACCTACACCCTCAGTCGGAAAGCCCGCGTCTACTCAGGAGAGAAGTATGGGAGCTGACTCCTCACTTACATATCCGGGAATGGGAGGGAAACTTGGGCAACATTCAAGGATGAGTAGAAGTTCAAGGGCAGATAGTGTTCCCCTGAAAGAAAACCCGATGGACAAGTCTGACTGACCAATTTAAGCGAGGTACCTCATTATTTCTCACACGTTCAGCAAACGTCTGTACACCGGTGAGGGAAATGCTCTCATCTCAGCCATTGCTATTGGTCTTTGAATTCTCAGTCCCTTTATCAGGAGAACCCCAGCGTTTTTTGCAGTCAGTGCCAGAGCTAGTTGTAAAGTGAGCAAGTTAACTTTTTGCTTTTCTTCAATTCCTTGATCTTTTTGTTAAAATTGTCTAAAACTAATTAGCTATATGAAGGAGAATTAATGTGCAAGTGATTGGAAGGTGATGTCTCCTTAGAACTTCCTGGTTACATTAAGTTTTAAATTTGGGACTCAATCACCTGTGAGGATAATGGGCCTCCACCTGGGTCTCCCCAGGCCAGGAACGGAGGGGAAGGAGGGAGAGAGACCGAGAGAAGGGCGAGGAGGCAGGAACGATGTGGATTTATTCTTGACTTTTCCCTCAGATCTTTACTTCCCATCTTTGCCTGTTCTTACAAGGACAAAGCACGATGGCACTTCAAAATTTCCTCATGAAGGAAAGGGAACATGTACAAATAAAGAGGGAAACCCTCTCTGGCTGTTGTCAAATTAGAAAAATGGCGAGAGACCGCAGGCCCCAGAAAAAGCACCGATAGTCATGGAGGGTGAGGACTAGATTCTTACTACACGTGTACCTTCTGAAAGTGGCTATTGCACCTACCTCTTAAGCAGCTCTCTCCCCCATCATCTTTTATATATACACACACACACACACACACACACACACACACTCTATTGATTTTTTACAGAGAGGAAGAGAGAGGGATAGAGAGAAACATCGATGAGAGAGAATCATTGATCAGCTGCCTCTTGCACCACGCCTACTGGGGATGTGCCCGCAACCAAGGTACATGCCCTTGACCGGAATCGAACCTGGGACCATTCAGTCTGCAGGCTGGTGCTTTATCCACTGAGCCAAACCGGTCTTAACCTCTCCCTCATCATCTTGATCAGTTTGCCTTTCTTGTACAAATTAAGACAAGTGAGCACGTTCATATATATATATATATATATATATATATATATATTGTTGATTTTTTTATAGAGAGGAAGAGATAGGGGTAGGAGTTAGAAACATTGATGAGAGAGAATCATCAATCAGCTGCCTCTTGCACACACTCCACTGGGGATGTGCCCGCAACCAAGGTACATGCCCTTAAATGGAATCGAACCTGGGACCTTTCAGTCCGCAGGCGGATGCTCTATCCACTGAGCCAAACCGGTTTCGGCAAGTGAGCATGTTCTTAACGTTTTCCTGGGCTTATTTTAATTTCATTTTTATCCTCCTTTTTTCATGGCCTTGTTGAGCCATGAGTTTGCCTAATTCATAGCTTGTTTATTCCTTAGTTCTTATCTGGGTTCAGAGAACATGTGTTCTTGCAATTCCCAAACTCACTTTAAAATGCTGACCCCTTTTTATGAACTATTTAGAAGTAGATTTGGGTTCATTTTGAAAGAGATATTTATATTTTAAAAAGAGACCCTCCATTTTTTTTCTGCTTTAGATGCTTCTTAGTAAGGAGGCATATAAGGTGCAGGTATACTGAGGAAGTCAGTTCCTGCTCCCTGCCCAGATCCAGTTGACAGATGGAGGACAGATGGAGGGAGCGCGCTCTGTTTGGGTGCTGTTCCAGTGTGGCCCCACCCCTCGAAGGCAGAAAGCTCACGGTGCTGGCACTTCTTTTTTTCCTACGTCCCTGAGACTCTATCACTCTACTAACAGAGCTTCCCCATCTGAACAGGGAGAATTGTGGAGGCAACATGCCGATCTAGAAAATGCAGTACTAGGTAAAGGAACTATCTTCATACCAGGACTGGTTACTGAGTCGCATGTTTCATTTCAGACAGATACACACATGTGGGTTTTTTTTTAAACCATTTTGTTGAGATGTAATTCACATATTCTATATACCACTCACTTATTTAAACTACCGTTCAGCTGAAACCGGTTTGGCTCAGTGGTAGAGCGTCGGTCTGCGGACTGAAAGGTCCCGGGTTCGACTCCGGTCAAGGGCCTGTAGGTTGGTTGCGGGCACATCTCCGGTAGGGGGTGTGCAAGAGGCAGCTGGTCGATGATTCTCTCTCATTGACGTTTCTATCTCTCTATCTCTCTCCCTTCCTCTCTGTAAAAAATCAATAAAATATATTTTAAAAATAAATAAATAAACTACTGTTCAGTGGCTTTTAAAATAGTCATATAGCTGTGCTTACATGACCACGATCAATTTTACATTTTGATGTGCAAGTGATTGGAAGGTGATCAGCCAAAATCAGCCCAGAACCCCTGAACTGTCCTCTCCGCACACCTTCCTTTGCATTTAATTTTGGAGTCAGTTCATTTCTGTAAAGAAAAATGCAACTAGGACTTTGACAGGAATTTCATTGAATCTGTAGATCAATTTGATAAGTATTTCCATCTTAATATTATTAAGACTTTTGATGGATGAACATCAATTTCTTTCTATTTAGGTTCTCTTTAATTGCTTTCAACAATTTGTAGTTTTCAGGGTGTAAAGTTTGTACTTCTTTTGTTAAACATTTCTAAATTGATGTGTGTGTGTGTGTGCAATTTTTTAATGCAATATTGAGTAGAAATAGTTTCTTAATTTCATTTTTGGGTTGATTCTATTGATTTTTTGTATACAGCAATCTTGTTGAATATTCACTACTTCTAATAGTTTTTAGATTCCTTAGGATTTTTTATATATAAGATTATGTCATCTGCAAATAGAGATTAGTTTTGCTTCTTTCTTCCTAATCTGGATGTCTTTTATTCCATTTTCTTTCCCAATTGCCCTGGCTAGTACAATGTTGAATAGAAGTGACAAGAGTGAACATCCTTCTATTGGTCCTGATATTAGGAGGTGAAAAGCATCCATTCTCTCACCATTATGTTTTTACAGAGGCTTTTTGTCAGGTTTTTACAGAGGCTTTTTGTCAGGTTGAGGAAGATCCCTTCTATTACTAGTTTGAGGGTTTTTTGGGTTTTTTTTCATGAAAGGGTGTTTTAAATTTATTAAATGCTTTTTCTGCATCCATTGAGATAATTGTATGGGTTTTGTTCTCTATTCTCTTGATGTTATGTGATGAGATATATTACATTAATTGACTTTAAGATATTAAACCAATTTTGGATTCAAGGGTAAATCTCATTCGTGGTATATACATCTTTTATTTATTGCCAAGCTTGACTTGCTAGTTTGGAGAGGTGATGAAAAATTTAGTTGAGGATTTTTACATCAATATTCATAAAATACATTGCTCTGTAGTTTTCTTGTGATATTTTTGTCTAGTTTTAGTATTAGGCTAATACTGGCCTTATAGAATGAGTTGGGGAGTATTCCTTTTTCTACTATTTTCAAGAGTGTGGAGAAGTGATATTGTTTTTTAAATGTTTGGTAGAATACACCAGTGAAGCCATCTGAGCTTTTGTTTGTGGGAAGTTTTTCATTATAACTTCAGTCTCTTTATTTGTTATAAGTCTATTAAGACTTTCTATTTCTTCTTGAGTCAATTTTAGTAGTTTTTATCTTTATACAAATTTGCTCATTTCATCTAAGATATCTAATTTGCTGGCATACCATTGTTCATAATATACATACATATATATATATTTTATTTTATTTTATTTATTTATTTTTTTCCTACAAGGTTGGTGTAGTTATGTCTTGTCTTTCACTTCTCATTTTAGTAATTTGAGTTTTCTCTTTCTTTTTTTGGGTCAGTATAGCTAAAATTTTTATCAAATTTTGCTGATCTTTTTGAAGAACCAAATTTTGGTTTTATTTATTTTTTTTTAAATTGTGTATCTATTCTCTTTTTTCATTTATGTTTGTACTATTTTGTATTCCTTCAGTTATCACCATCAATTTTTAACTTTCTAGTTTTGCATGTTTGCAATCCTACTTCTGATTTATTAGTAAAAAGAGAAAAGCTATTGGGTTATTTTTGTCTTGGTGCTTCTATATTATTATACTAAGGCAGGACTTTCTGATCAGTCAGTTCTCAAAAGGACATTATCACCAATTCACTTGATTACAAAGCAAACTTTAGTGATACAGATTCTAAAACATGGTGCATTTTCACCAAGTGAACATATACATGTAATTAGCATCCTGATTAAGAAATAAACATTGGCAGAACTCAAAAAACCCTAAAAGCTTAATATACGTTTCAAAAATGAACCAGACTAATTCTTGTGATAGAGGTCTGGACAGAGTCACCCTTGGGTAGGGGTAGTCATTGGGAGAGGGTATAAGGAGGTAGTCATGTGGCCAAGACTAGACCGCAGCCTGCCCGCCCTGAGCCCAGCAGCCCTGCATTGCCTCCTCCTCTGCCAGCCCCCCGTCCAGCTCCCAGAGCTGATCCCCATTTTCTCCCTGTCCCCTTTTATCCCCCACTCTGCCCTTCAATCAACTTCCTCTGAGGTCTGAGCAACTCTTGGGTCCCAAGAAGAGAATGTCACAAATTCTTCCTCCCTCCCCGCCCCCACTTCTCTCACCAGCCCCGAGAGCTTTGCAGGTCCTGGGTCTCCATCTTTCCTGGCTCCAAAGGAAGGGTAGAGGAAGTGGAATTAAAATCAATGTGCTACTTGTTAGCAGCTCTGGTAAAAATAACAACTCGCATTTAAGCAGTCTGGATGGCTCAAGTGGAATTTGGGGATTACCCATGGCGGAATTGGCTGGTGTTAAATCACAATTAGCATGGGCTCTCTCTCTTCAGTTAGTCTGGACAATGCAGGACTGGCTAGCCATGGAAAATGCTTAATGATCACATGTAAGCACAAGCCAGGATATCAGGAAAAGGTTGCTGGGTGGACACACACACACACACACACACACACCACAGTCTTGATTCAAAACCCATAGGCTCTGTATCTGATTTAAGGAGGAAAAATATTCCATCTTTTCAAATTCCAGATCACCTCAAGCTACCTCTTTAAAGAAGGCACTGCCAATTCCAGAATCTTGATCTTTATTTCCTAAAAGTTTAGCCCTACAAGAGCAATAGGTACAATTCCACAGGTGGTTTTCTTACCTGTAGGGAAGGCAGACATGTGAAGAGTCTGAGGCACTTTTAGGGTCTTGCTTTTTATGGTCCTTAGATACAATATAAAAGTTTCCAAATCTTCAAAGAGAGCAAGTATTTATAATAATTTGGAAAACTTTTTTTTTTTTTTCAATTGGGCATGTGTGATGTGTGTGTGTGTGTGTGTGTGTGTGAGTGAATGAATCATTTCATCTCTTAAGTTGAATGATAGTAGTGTTATCCCCGAGAGGATAAGTTTGGTTTTTATTTATTCCTCTCCAAAACATCCAGGAGGTTTTTACTAACCAGGTTCATCTTTCTTGCACTCCTCTCCCAATCCGTGAACAAGAGTTGAGTTTGGTCCAGTTGTGGTAACACTCAGTTCTACTCAAAGGATTTTAGAGCTTCAGATCAGGGCGGGCAATGCTGGACGTGCTTTTAAATGCTCAAAGCATAAAATGTAGGATATAGAGAATGCACATTTGGGTTCTGTTTGGTTTTTATTGTTCTCTAATCCTGAGCAACATCGTGCTTAAGAGCTTTTGATAAAATCCACTATATTAGAATTCAGCCAAATTCCATAAAACTGATTAAGACAGTTAGGTCTTTCATGCCACCCCATAATAAAACATGTCGTTAAGTAAGATAGCTCACTGCACTCTTACAGAATTCCAGAAATTATTCAAACTTTAAAATTCCTTCCAATCTCTTATTTCAACTTAAGGACAATATCAGATATGCCAGTTAGCAAGAAAGAGGTAAAAAGACTACTGCAATCACACCTCCAGAACGGGTTTAGGAGAATGCTGTGAAGATAATGTCAGTTTGCAGCAATCTAAATTTCTGCTTCTATCGCGAGCTTGCATGTTATTTGGACTTTCAAATTGGTTTTAACAGCTCTACTTCACCCTGCTGCCTGCTATTAAAATATATGGTTAGAACGTACAAATTCCATAGATTACCATAGAAATAAGCAAATTAACTCGAGTGTCCAGATTATACACTGCTTTTTTTATGGGTTCTATATAAAAATCTGAAAAGCTTTTGAGCATTTTGTCCCGCTCATAGTCAAGGATTTTGTGTTATTCTGAGATTGCCCTATATCAAAGCTGGTTCTCTTTATACAGCATTTTTTGCCCTCAAGAAAATACAGAAGAAGCCCTGTTGTTATTGCTGATTAGTGAATCTATGGTAAGTAGAATGTGTTTTTACATTTTTTTTCTCCCTATTCCTATAGTCCCTTTTTTTTTTATATGGTTACTCCACCAGTATAGTGACCCTTTTCCTTGGGAGAAAAATAGATGGGATGCCTGGATGGGAAGAAACAGTAGAGGCTTAAAAGGAGGGATGCTTCTTACTTCTTGGACTGAGTAGCACATTCCTTGGTCATCCCAGAGCATGGAGCTTCTCCTCCCCCTGGCGATTAGTTAAGGTGACCAGACGTCCCACTTTTGGCGGGACAGCCCCGATTTTTAACAGTTTGTCCTGCGTCCCTGGGCGTTTTAAAAAAAGTCCCGATCGGGACTTTTTTTAAAACGCCCAGGGACGCAGGACAAATTGTTAAAAAGCGGGACGTCTGGTCACCTTACAATTAGTAAGCATCTGAGTTTATTCCTTTATCCACCCAATATTGCTGGAACACTAACACAAGCATATACTGTAGGTAAACTATACTGAAATGACCACCAAAGGACCTGGCCAGGGGAAAGAAGCCCCCAAGGGTAAACTTCCCGGGCCTTCTCCATTTGCCGTGGAGGGAGGGAGCCTTTGGAGAGCAATCACGTGTGTGTTTGATGCTCTGGTTTCAGATGACATTGCCTGGGCCTCCTCACAGGCCCCTTCCCCCTCCCCCCCTGCTCCCGGCACTGCCCGCCCAGCCGGGAGGGCTCACTCCTGTCACCGGCTCGGCTGCTGGGAGGCCACTCTTGCCAGACCCTGACTTCCTCGGAAGTGTTTTCTTCGTGTTTGGCCAGGATATTGCATTTTAGGTCTGGAATGTCCTTGCTCATCGTTGTTTTTGGGTTTCCACTCTGCGTATCTTCAGGCGTGACTGTCTTTCAGGAGTGATATGTGCGATACCCTGTTTCCCCCAAAATAAGACAGCGTCTTATATTAATTTTTTTCTCCCAGAGTTGCGCTAGGTCTTATTTTCAGGGGATGTCTTATCTTTCCATGCGCTAGGTCTTATTTTCGGAGGATGTCTTATTTTCGGGGAAACACGGTAGTAGCTACACCTTGGCAAGCCACTGTGTGTGCCCAGCCCCTGAGCAGCATGGCCAACGCCTGGGACCTGAGAGGACCTAGAGGTCCCTCATGTCCATTCGCTCAGTTTACACGTGGGGGACCCGAGGCCCAGAGCAGGCGCCTGGATTCACCGGGCAGTGGTCTTCCCAGTAAATCGGACATCATACCGTGCCCTCCCACATCCCTGTCCCCTCCCACGTCCCACCCCGCACCTGGCAGGGAGAGGAGCAAAAGGAATCCTAGCCGAAGCGAGAGAAGGGTTTCCTTCTCGCCCAAGCACCCCGTCTGAAGGGAGGTCTGAAAGGCACTCGGGTGAGGAAGGCTTAGACATGAGCAGGAGAAGGGATGGGTGCCCCGTGCCGAAGGGCGGGGTCCAGAGGGCCGAGCTTGGTCTGGGAGGACAGCTTCCTCGCCTTAATTCAAAGCGTTGGGTTTTCTCGTTCTGTGCGATGGCCCCGAGATGTTTACAAGAGCAAGACTGCTTGGGTTACCACCTCTCTCTGCGTGGAAGCTCTTTGACGTCATTGGCCTCCTTCCTCCGAAGGAGACAGGTTGCCCCGTTGGCTCATCTTTCCCTGGCTGTCAGCTGGCATCCCAGCACGGTGTCACTTACGCCCTCCCCTCCGCCTCGGCGCAGTCGGGGAAGGCACGGCTGTGGACGGCCTGGCACCGGCGTCCGGTGACAAGTGTCGCTGTGCTTTGTCATCAGTTCTTCGATGGGGGCTGGCTCGCGGCGGCCTCCTCGCCTACACCCCTGCACCCGAAGCTGGACTCTGCAACTTAGCCATCCGTTTCCTTGGGGCAAACCTGGTTGGTTACACTGGGGAAGTTCTGGCAGCGTGGTGACCACACATGTCAGGTTTCTGGGACGGTTCCGATGGAAAATATTGAGCTCCGTTGTCAATCATGTATTCGTTTGGCATCTGGAAAACACGGCCCCCTCTCCAAAATGCTGTGTCTCGGGAATGATGGCTCCATCTCTCCTGCTTCTTCACTGAAGGGCAAGGAACTCATAGGCTCCGGATAAAGATCCCTCTGAGACAGTCAGGTCTGACTCTGTGGCATTTTCATTTCTGGAAACCCCTGCAGCGGCTGGTGAAACCCAGTGACGTCAATAAATGGGAAAGATGAGGTTCCCAGCCAGAATGATTCTGTCCCCCTTGGTAGGTCACTGCGTGTGCCCAGCCCCTGAGCGGCATGGCCAGCGCCTGGGACTGGAGAGGACCTGGAGGTCCTCATGTCCATTCACTCCATGGTCATGTAGGGAGAAACCTGGATTAAGTCGGAAGTCCCTTTTTCGTGCTCCTTGACTCCTTGATTTTTCTGTTTTGGGGCAAAAAAAGAATGTGCTCAATTTCAGAACCAAAATGAGAATTGCTGTGGGGTTGTTTGTTTGTTTTTTTCAGTACTTGGGAAAATTGTATTTTTAAAAAAATATATTTTATTGATTTTTTTACAGAGAGAAAGGGAGAGAGATAGAGAGTTAGAAACATCGATGAGAGAGAATCATAGATCAGCTGCCTCTTGCACACCCCCCACTGGGGACGTGCCCGCAACCAAGGTACATGCCCTTAACTGGAATCGAACCCGGGACCCTTCAGTCTGCAGACCGACGCTCTATCCACTGAGCCAAACTGGTTTTGGCGGAAAATTGTATTTTTTGTTGGTTCTGACTTTTCTTAGAAGCATAATTCGTCCATTGTCTCTCCTCCTACAAGAACTCATTGGGGATTGTGCTGCTTTCTTACCTCAAGTGAGTTTTCCCCAGGAGAAGGGAGTCATTGGGACTGCTTGTATATTTGCACAACCGACACTGACAAAGTACTCGAGGTTCTTTATTATTTGTGGATCAGTTTAAGGTTCTGTATTGTACCTTTTTATTCAAAAGAAAACCACAGACTTTCTCTAAAAATTAAAAAAAAAAAAAAAAAAGAATGCATTTGGCATAACTTGAAAATTTCTCTTAAATAGTATTTTGTTTTATTCTCTTCCTAGTATCGGTTCTCAACATGGAGCATTTATAGCAAATAAATAAAGTGAGGCCACTTACAGGAACCCCTGTTCCCCCCACCCCCCACTCCGAGCTTCTTTTGTTGGCTTAAAAGCCACTCCTAACCAGAAAAATGTAAGGATAAAACCTTCAGAATCAGGCTATTTCCACAGGCGATGACTCACTTTGAAGGACGTGGCCTGACTTATATATCCTTACTTGTCTTTGACATTTTGGAGCGAGGAGTTTTGAAGAGAGTGAGTGCTGATGGGTGGCTAAAAGCAAAGGCCCCGGAATCACAAAAAGAAAACTTCTTACCTCGTTAGTGAGAGGGAAGGGGCGCGTGGTCTCTCTGAAGGTCAGGCGGGAAGACAGACATCCGCCTGCCAGGACAAGCGGCCCCGCTGGCTCCTGTGGCCACTTCCAGGAAGAGCTGGGGTTCTCTTTGCATGCGCCCAGGGACAGGGACGGGTAGATCTGGAGACTTCCGGTAGTTAGCAGGGGAGAAAGACAGGAAAATCTAACTATTGAGCCCTCATTGGTTTGGCTCAGTGGCTAGAGCATCGGCCTGAGGACTCAAGGGTTCCAGGTTCGATTCCGGTCAAGGGCATGTACCTTGGTTGCGGGCACATCCCCAGCAGGGGATGTGCAGGAGGCAGCTGATCGATGTTTCTTTCTCATCAATGTTTCTAACTCTCTATCCCTCTCCATTCCTCTCTGTAAAAAAAAAAAAAAAATAAATATATATATATATATATATATATATATATATATATATATAAAATATATATATATTTTTTTAAAAATCTAACTATTGATTCTAACTTCCTACCAGGGGGGAGAGGAAAAGGAGCCAGTGGTTAGAGTCTCCCGCATGGGTTTGTCTGGAGCAATCTATAGAGAAATTACATTTCAAAGGTAATGGGAACAGGTTGCTGTAAGGAGCCTTTGATGTCTAGATGGATGAGATTAATAAGCTCGAAGGCGCCTGCTGTCTTTCTTGCTAAGCAGCGGCGATGTGAAATAGGCAAGGTGTTCTCCTGAGTCCTCTGTGGCGACGTCTTCAAAATAAAAATCGGTTTGCTTCTTGCTGTCACTTATACATCTGCTTTGTGCTTCCCTAAACAAGATCGGATTAGTCTTTGTAGTCTCTTCCAGCGAGGATGTCACCCCGGGGCCTGAATGTCACTTTGGTAGTGGAGGAAAAGTATGACATGTCTCTGTAGGCCGGATGGAGCTTGATGCCACCATTCGGGGCCGGGAAGGGTGGGGCCGGGAGTTCTCTTCCACCCGGTAACGTACAGCAGAGCTGGACCTGGGAGTGAGGATCAGCACGTGCAGCCACGTGTCTGCTCTCATCCTGCCGCCCCAGAGCACAGCTGAGCCTGCTGGAGCCGGAGCCCGGGAGAAATCACCCCGCTCTGTACTCCCCGGCCCTGAAATCTCCTTCCACGTACCTGCCAACGGGCACACGGGTCCTTCAGGATCACGCCTCCAGGCCCCTGCAGTTTGGAGAGCACCATGACCGCTCTGTGCCGTGGTGCTCGGGGGGATTTGAACACACAACCAGAGGTGACAGACCCCTCCCCCATCCCCGCCCTTGTCCCCAGACCCGGCTGTTAGGCAGGAGGCAGACAGGGCCTCCCGACAGCGAGGGCGGCATGCACGGGCTGCCTCACCGTCTGCTTCTCTCCTCTGTGCTGCTTCCAGGCCAACCGGGACGCCGTGCTGAGCAGGATCCCCGAGCACAGGAGCGACCGCCTCATCAGCCTGCAGAGCGCCTCGGTGGTCTACGACCTGCTGACCATCGCTCTGGGGAGAAGAGGCCAGTTTGAGATGCTGTCGGAGGTACAGCCCTCGCTTCCAGGCGGTGGGGGGTGCCGGCGGCATGAACACTGAGGGACCTGGTCCTGAGCCCCTGTCACCAACGGCCACGTGGCATTGGGGTTCGCTTTGGTTTCCTCCTCTGTGAAATGGAGACGGGGCTAAGCAATTCGGAGGAGGTAGTCACCGGTGGTCACTTCCTCCCTGTGGTCCAGACACTGGCAGTGAGTTTTGGGGGGGAGGGAAGGAAAGCATTTCTCTAGCAGTTTCTCTTTTAGTGTAATTTCCACCATTACCTCACATCACCCATCTGTGATATTAGTTTCCTTATAAAACAGGCTATATTTGATTTAGAGCATCATTGTGTAGCTCCTGCTGAAACGGCAGCTGTGGGCACAGGGTATCGCCCGGCGAGCTGGGACAGGCTGTCATGTCCACTGTGTCTGCGTTCAGAGGGACTCTCGTGGCACAGGATCTCGTGTGAGGTGTTGTCATCTCCCTCTCACCCCCCGTTTCTCAGAAACATTGGGACGGAAGCCTGACTTTATCTTGTGTTGTGGTTATGCATATCTGAGCTGCTGCCCAGAATACCAGATTCCACGGCCGTAGAGGTGAAATAAGCATTAGATCATTTTATCTTTTCTTTAGTGAAATGAAGAGAGAGAAAGAGAGAAAACAACTAATTTGGTTAAAATGTTATGAGTCTTTCTTTTTCTAAATTTATACACATTGCAACAGCCTCCAGGCAGGAGGACAGGGAATGAAATACAGTAACAGACAGGCTGAAATCAGAGAGGCGCGCGTCTCGCCCTCCAGCCCGCGGAGCCCGGCCACGTTGCCCGGAGCCGCTGAGAGCAGACGAGCCTGTGTGGCCTGGACCTTTTTTTAGGCTTTGGTTCGGTGACTGCCCAGGGCAATGGCTACTTGTTCTTCAAAAACAGCCCTTCACAAGCCAGCTAGATAAGGCGGTCTGTCCTGATGTTCCTGTTACACCCAGCACCCTGCACCCCCCAGACTGTGCCCAGCGTGGGGTTGGCCTGGATTCGTCACTGCTCCAGGCGCTTTGACTTCCTGGGACCCCTCCTCCTGGCCAGCTTGGGTCCCCCCGCCCCCCCTGCATCTGCTGCGGAGCCCTCTGCAGGGACAGGGCCCCCAGCCCATGGGGAGTTCTCCGAAGGGGAGCCTTTGCCCTCCAGATGGAGCCCTGGAAGTCTCGCTGGGTCCCAGGCTGAGTGTGGTCACGTGTCTGCTCTCATGCCATCTCGGGGCTGCGTCTGGGACAGGTGTGAGCCGCTGGAGGTGCCTGCCGCCTTCGTCACAGGCTGGGGGACCCCTGCCCTCGGACTTGTCTTCATGACATGACTGACTCCAGGGGGGTGATTGTCACCTTAGCCGCATTCCTCTGCCAGGGGGCGCTCCCGGGCCTGTGCTTCCTCCCGGCGCGGAACGCGGCCACCTGGTTTTCACCAGATGACTTTCACCTTGATGTCGCTTTTAGCTGCCATCTTGTGGCAGTGACCTGGTGCCCAAGGCAGTGGCTGAGCCTTTGCAGTTCCGAATTTCACCACAGGAGTCGCATTTAAAGCAATGGGACATTGCCAGAGGCTGCCTGAGGAGCTCCAGTAGAGGGTGGGGGCAGGGGAATGTATCAGGGTGTACCCCTGGGGGCCTTTTGAATCTGGTACCATCTCTGTGCTGTATCTATAGGTCAGTTGATAATAGAGAGGACACTCATGTCGTCAACACGTGTGTTTGCAGTCCCCTGCTCTGTGCCAGGGGCTGTGACTCGGGCCGGGACACGTGAGCCAGGTGCTGTCCCTGCCCATCAGCAGCTCCCAGTCCACAGCGAGGCGGCCAGGCCCCACGGGGAGGCCTCCCTGCAGGCTCTGCGTCCAGCAATAAAGGACTTGAATGCTTGGCTTCAACCTTTTGTTATGCCCAGATTTCGTGATCCCCAAAGACCACCAGGGAGCTGAGTCTGATGCAAAAGCAAAAGAGTCTTTTTATTCCAGGCTAGCCCGCCTCACCTCCCACATACCAACCCAGCGGCAAGGTGAAGAAGGGAGTGGGTCTCTCTAGAGCAAAGGATTTATAGGGGTGGTGAGGTCACTGCTTTGGCTGACCCCGATTGGTTGGGTGAGGGTTAGGGTCCAGTTACATAGGGACATAGTTATACAAAATGGAGGATGCAGCACACGATAGAGTCAGGAGTTAATCCTGTCCTGCCCTCTCACCTTTCTTGCCATTTCTGCTTAGTTTTGCAGTTAGAGCTTCCCCAAGCCCCGTGTCTCTGATCTTCTAAGTGAGACGGGAGGTATTGTGGGTGGAAGGGAACACGAAGGCGCCTGGAGACACAGTTCCATCTCTGGAAGCCGGTCCCTGAGGAGCAGCGCAGTCACCTCGCTGAGCTCAGCCCCTCTCTCCCTTGGTCTCAGGCCACATCTTACTTAGCGGGTCCTGCTTCCCTCCTTTGCTAGGGTTTTCTTTTCTTTAATTCTAATGTTTCCTTCCATTTTTCTCAGGACTTGAGATTAAAAGACTAACCCGATTTTTAAAAAAATATATTTTATTGATTTTTAACAGAGAGAAAGAGAGAGAGAGATAGAGAGCTAGAAACGTCGATGAGAGAGAAACATCGGCCAGCTGCCTCCTGCACACCCCCCACCGGGGATGTGCCCGCAACCAAGGTACATGCCCTTGACTGGAATCGAACCTGGGACCTTTCAGTCCACATACCGACGCTTTACCACTGAGCCAAACCGTCTTCGACAGTTTTTTTTGTTTTTGTTTTTGTTTTCATTGAGGTAAACTCACATAAACATAGTCATTTTTAAATATCCAATTCGGTGGCCTTGAGAACATTCCCACTATTGTGCAACTATCCACTCTATCAAGTTCCAAAACATTTTCCTCGCCCTAAAAGGAAACCCCGTCCTATGAAGTGATTTTTCTCCATTCCCCGACCCCCCAGTTTCTGTCAGCCGCTCATCTCTCTGACTATGGATTTACCTAATTTGGGGATTTCATATAAATAGAACCATCCAGTATATGACATTTCGTCTGGCTTCCTCCGCTTAGAAGGTTGTAGCATGTGTCAGGGCTTCATTCCTTTTTTATGGTTGGATAACATTCCACCGTATCACGGTTTGTTTATCCGTTTGTCAGTCGACAGGCATTTGGCCTCGGTGAACAGTGCCGCCGTGGGAGCAACTGGCATTTAGACTTCCCGTGTTACGTCTTGGGCCTGCGGTGGTTAGTGGTTATCGTTATTGCTATATAACCACACTCGGTATGGTCGGATATTCTGTTTCCTCTTCTGCAGCTTCTGCACCGGGACTGGTGGGCCTTCTAAACCAGGAATGGGCACACCGCCCTTCGGTTAAGAAACATCCCATGGCTCTTCCCCATCCCCTTCTTTTGTCCTTTCTCTTCGTTTTGTCTTGTTTTACTTTTTCTCCCGTAATGACATTGACTTCATTGTCTGTGTGTCCGCCATGTGCAGCAGCCTGCAGGCTTAGAAGAACCAAGCAGCACATACAAACATGGGAGAGAAAATGAAGGCCCCGGGAATCCCACTCTCCGGGGGTCGTTACCTGCCCGTTGCCCCTCTTTCCTCGTATGCCTTCATGAATGTAATGTATGGACCTGCTACAGACACCGCTCATGAATGTAATGTATGGAAGTGTGAGGAGCGGGGTGATGTCGGGCATGTCTTATTGTGGATATTCCCAATCATCGCTCTCCCCTGCATTGGTACCCCTGCCTCCGTGCCCCTAATCCCAGGCCTAGAGAGCTTGGCCTTGAGTTCTGTCCTGCCATTAGCCAGTTGTGTGATCCTGGGAGTTATTCGCCTCTACTGCCTCAGGTTTTCCTTCCGTAAAACAGGGAGGGTAGTCATACCTGCCTTATGAATGTGAAAGTCACTCACTAATCCATGCAAAGTACTCAGAGCACGAGCTCATTGGGCGTGTGCTTCCGTCACCTTAGCAGCATTCCTACCGCCGTATTCCCAGGGGTTGCCAGGCATCGGAAAGCCACAAAGTATACAGAAAGGTCTTTCTTTGGCTTCTAGGATTTTTCAATCTAGAGAGACCAAATAGAAACATGAAAAGATGACTACAGTTGACCCTTGAACACGGGTTTGAACTGGATGGGTCAACTTACACATGAATTTTTAAAAATAAAAACCTTACTGTCTTCCACCTGAGGTTGGGAGTCCCCAGATGTGAAGGGCCAGCTGGGCACGTTGATTTGTGCCATTTTTATACTAGTGAATTGAGTATCCAGGATTTTGGTATCCACAGGGGGTCCAGGAACCAATTCCCCACAGGTGCCAAGGGACAACTGAGTTTTGGGGGAAACAAAGTTTTACGTAGATTTTCGACAGCACAGGAGTCAGAACCCCTAACCTGTAATGCTCAGGGTCTCCTCTCATCAGAGAAGACGACAGTAGGGCAGGGTCAAGGCAGGGCCCAGAGCAGGCCACTTGCATCAGAACTGGCAGGTGGGGCAGCAGCGAGAGGTCCTGAGTAACTGAGACAGGAACTGACTGCTCTAGACCTGCTGGGAATTGATTGCCCAGGAGCCCCCTTCATCAGCAGGGTCGTGGCAGTGTGAGGGCGTTCAGCCTGAGGGTGGGAACTGAGGGCTTGTTCTCACGGGGGCGTGGGAGAGGGCGTTGGACAGAAAGCCTGGCTGTCAGACCCCGCATCTCGGCGCAGACTGTGCCCTGGCTGATGGGAGCAGGTCCATCTCCCTCGGCTGGTCTGTGAGCAGGTCCCCTGTGCCTCGGCCACACTGCCCAGCGACAGTTCCTTTATGCCTGGACCTCTTATGACCAGAAGGTGAACAGCCCCCAGGCCGCCACGGGGGAATAGGTGTCACCTCCTCACCATGTCCTCATGCTTCTTCCTCTCTTGCCCCAGCCGACGTCAGCACTTCCACCTCAGGCTGGCGTGCTTTCCTCCTGGCCCTCTCCCGGGCGGACCTGAGCCCCCGGACACCCTGCACCAGAGGGGACGGCC